CCGTGTCAAGAAAAGCTGCTCCGCGTCTCCCTGGTCTGCTGGGGGGGCTTCCCCCCCCAGCAGACCAGGGAGATGTGGGAGCAAAGCCGCGGAGCACGCGGGCAGCGGACAGCCCAGACGTGCCGCGGCTGTCCCACTGCCGGCGTCCTCAGAAGCTTTGCTCCCAGTCTCCTTGGTCTGCTGGTCTCCAGCAGACCAGGGAGACGCAGAGCAAACCCCGTTCGTAACTGCGGATTCGACATAAGTCGGATCCGCGTAAGTCGGGGACTGCCTGTATAACAATGTGAGAAAACAGAACTGTAGATCAAGTATGCCAGAACAATCCCCTGCTTGTGAGAATAACTCAATGGGATATATATTTTTTAATATTCAGGAAGAGTTCTTGATAGGTTCCCATAATATTCCCCTACCCTAAACCACACAGAACGTAATGTATCTGCTTTTGAAAGGCATGGGTCAGCCTTCTGACATGTAAACCTGTGCTTCCAGAAAGTCTGGGTATTTAAACCTGGGTATTTAGACTAGTAAACCCTCTATCAGAGTAAATACTAAACTGATTGCGCCCTTGCTGAAAAGTTACTTTCTTGTGACTAGTCATTAAACTTTTCACACTAGACAGCTGAAGGAAGTTCGTGCTCTGCAAATGATTTAAAAGATGATTAATTTCTTGAAACAAACAGCTGGACTATATTTTTCCAAAATACATTAACTGGGAAACATAAGATGCCCTAGCATCCCTTAGAGCCTCAGAATGGTGAGAAACATGACTCCTGTAGACAGATGCATACCAAATCCTGAAGACCTCGACTGTCACTTTAGAATTAGTCTTAAATAGTGTAGATTCAAAGAGAGTCTTTGACATGTAAAAAGGGAAGATGTCAAATAGCCTGAAAATAGAGAAGCAGCTTTAATGAGCTGCAGACAAGGAAAATACTTGATATTAAGAGAATTTACTTTTTGGCAAGAAAAAGAAATTGCTAAGGTGATCAGATATTCACATGCACAGGAAGGTGACAGACCAAGCAGAGAGACTAAAGCCCTGAATCTGGAAAACATCTCTCCTCAGGATGGCACGTAAGCACGTGCTTAAGTTTCAGCAAAGTAAATGTCCTGAATTAGGGCTTACAGCTAGAAAGCATCTTATGGAATGAGTCAACTAACTGAGATATATCATGGAATCAGTTGCACATCACATATAACTTCTGTGCCACAAACATTGATGAAATCATTTAAACATTCTATAGTTCTCTCTGTAAAGAATCAGAGTTATGACATTCATCACAACATGTTGCATTAGAAAAACATAACCTATCAGACTATAAGCAGCGATATAGCTGATATTATATTTTAAAGACAAAAAAATACCTTTTATAATAATATAATTTGACCTTCTGCATAACATAAGCCACTGAATTCAACTAGTAATTTCTGCATCAAGTCCACTATATAGCTATAGTTAATGTAACACATAAAACTGAATTCAAAGCCAAGATTTAGCATCTTACAGTGACAGAAAAGTGAACTCAAGGCCAAATCATATTTCCTAATTACAACAGACAGCAGAACTACTGGCAAAACTCTGGTAACATTCAAATGAATGAATGACAAAATTGTCAAAGTAATTCAAACTTTTATCTGGTAGGTATTGGAGAGAAGATTTAATGAACTCCTTATAATCTTGAGGTACTAAAATGAAAATGTAGGGCTTTATAGAAGGTTATTTGGAAATCTGAAATGACCAGGGACATAAAAAAGTGACAATATATTTGGATTCCAACACAGTAAATACTCAAGGAAATACACTAGACCTTAAGGTTGAGATATTCAAAGACGTTATATGGTTTTTATGGAAAACACTTCTTTGCATCTCTTAATCCAAGTTTGTAGCTTTCCATTTTATTCTCAGTATCATCACAGATCAGATTAAGAAGCATATTTTTAGCTCAGATTGATGCAAATGGATTTAATTTTTTTATCTTGAATAGTCTCAGAGGTGTAGCCACGTTAATCTGTATCTGCAAAAACAATAAGGAGTCCTATGGCAACCTTAAAGGCTAACAGATTTATTTGGGCTGCATCTGACAAAGTATTTTTAGCGATGAAAGCTTATGTCCAAATAAATCTGTTTGGATACGTCTACACAGCAGCATTGTTTTGGAATAACTTGACGTTATTCCAAAATAACAAAGTGCACAGCTACACTACAAGCTTTGATTTCAAAATCATGTCGAGCTGGAGGACTTCTTATACCAACTCATAGTAACCCTCATTTCACGAGGAGTAAAGGAAAAGTGTTCTTTCAACTTCCTGCTGTCTAGATAGTGCCAAAAAGCCAAGTTAAACTATTTCAACTTCAGCTATGCAATTGATATAGCTGAAGTTCAGTAGCTTAATTTGACTTTAGTTCTGCACTGTATATGCCTTTTGTCTTTAAGGTGCTACAGGACTCCTTGTTGTTTTTTAGTTTAAATAATAATTATACCTATTTTTATGTATGCTTTTCACCCATAGCTCTCATAGCTCTTTACAAAGGACTGATTAAACGATATCAAAAAGGAATATCAGTGAGGAACATGTAAATAGGGGAGGAAAACTAGCAATCCTTTAATGCTTTCTTCACACCTTAATTATCTAATAACTTTAAAATATGATGTGCTCTCTTTTTGAGAGACTTTACTGAATTTTCTCTTGTGTGACAATTCATGGAAGTTATTAAAAAATACCTTTAGACAAGCAAAGAGACTTTCACAGTTCCTTTGAGAGACCACTAAGTCTTAGGGTATGTCTACACTAGCCACCCTAGTTTACACACGGCACGGGCTAGGTAGTTCGAACTAAAGCCCCTAATTCGAACTACCATTACTCCTCATTGCAGGAGGAGTAACAGTAGTTTGAATTAGAGGCGTTAGTTCAAACTACCTAGCCCGTGCCGAGTGTAGCCACAGGCAGGGAGTTCGAACTACCAGGCATTTAAAAATGGCGGTGCCCGGGAACATGCAAATAAAGCCCGGGATATTTTAATCCTGGGCTTCATTTGCAAGTTCAAATGACTACATTAGCCACCCTAGTTCGAACTAGGGTGGCTAGTGTAGACATGCCCCCAGTCTCTTTTCTAAATGGAAAGCCAAATTAGAAAAAATTAAAATTATGAATTTAGCAAACAATATGACACTCACACATACACAATCTCATTTTCATGTAGGCACAAAAAGGGCTGATTTAACGAGCACTAGATTTGTATGTGCATGTTTTTCCACAATTATCTGGATGAGAAAAAATATGAACTCTACCTGTTGATTATAGGAATCCCACTTCAGCATGTTTTTTGTAAAGAATAATTGGGAATATATTGTAAAATTGGTCTTCATAGTACATTGCATATTGATATCTATGTTCTAAATCAAAACACTGCACAGTGCCCAGACTGTAATTTCTATTGCCAGAGTTTACCACATGAATGGCATCTAAAAGGCCAGATTTTGGGTTGAGCTTCTGACCTGCTTGTGCTACTCCAATGATGGAGTCTAGTACAGTTGGCAATCTCTCACTCTCACTTGCACAGACACAGCAACACAAACATACACACATACACACACACACACAGTTAACCTTCATACCTGGTTAGGATGCCTGTTTAAGAAATCTTGAAATCCAGGTAACCCAGGAGGACCCTATTGGAGGGGGAGGAAGGAGATACTTTTCAAATAGAGACACTTAACGTTACATATTCCCACGTGAAAACTCTGGCACACTTTTAATGGCTTCACATTTTAATTTTGCTTACATAGTAAATTATTGGTTCTAAATTCATTACCATTACTTCTGGATAAATAAAATACTACCAATACTGTAAAAGAGTGCATCATGTAAGCATGATAAAGTCCCCCAAATCTGGGATCCAGCAGATTATTTTATCATGGATTAATATAGCAGAGATTACAAGAGAAAACATTTGTATCAGGCTTAAATGAAGTCTGTTCTGTTAGGTGTATAATCTTTTTTAGTTTGGAATGTCTCCTAACAGTCTCCCATCAAATTATACTGGAAGAAAAAAAAACACAAATTCTTAAGCAGTAGTCACTGATGGAACTGGAGAAACAGCTCAATTAATGAATCTTAAGATGAAAGATAGCAAATTTTTGTTTTTAC